ATTAGATCACATAGGTTAGATCTCCTCCGGATTCCATCTGCCAGCCAATGTCGGCTGGCGACCCCCCCTGGGGAGAGCCTTCTCTGTTGCAGCTCCAGCCCTCTGGAATGATCTCCCTGTTGAGATCCGGACCCTTACTACCCTCCCGGCCTTCCGCAAAGCCACCAAGTCCTGGCTGCTCCAGCTGGCCGGGGGGGGGGGGGGGGGGGGGGGCTGTGAAATATCCAGCCCCACGGAAATTGTGAATGTTGTGGTTTTGTTTTTAAAATGTTGTCTTTGTCTAGTTTCCCCCCTTTCCCTTGTCTATTGTGAGCCACCCGGAGTCCTTCAGGAGTGGGCGGCATACAAGACAAATCAAATCAAATCAAAACTCAAATCAAGCTGCTCTCCCCCAAAAAACAAACAATCAAAAAGCCCACAAAACTACACACTTTCAACTTATATGCACAAACTTCTGTTTATTTCAGGCTTAAAGTCAAAATTAGCCAAACCTCTTGATAATTACATTATATATATATATATATATTTATAGCTATGTAGATGTACAGATAAATTTATAGATACTTTGTAGAAAAGGACTTTTTGCTTCCATTTGGCGGCTGCATCCCTCCCCAACACGCACGCACGCACGCAAACACACACACGTACATAAAAAATATTAAAATAGCACAAGAAGAGGCAACTTCCGCCCGTTACGTTTCCATCTTCCATAGCATCGTCATTATAAAGACATTGGTTTCCCTTCCCCTCGCTGGGAATAAAGGACTCCTTCCTGTCGTCTTTTTTCCTCCTCTCCACCTTTGCAATCCAGAGGAGAAATCTGCAATTTATCCAAAGTCCTAACATCTAGCTGGCCCCAATTTCCTGCAAGATTCACAGTCCCACAGGGTGGAGAGGACAGTGGACAACAGAACAGGTTAAACATTAAGCAGGATTTTCAACGGGCATCTTTCCCAGCGTATCTCAAACCGATGGCTTTTCCTACTGTTGCTGGGGTTTTCCCCCCTAGCAGATCCAAATAGAAAGGGATCTATTTCGGTCCTGGCTATAATGATAAAATGCCCAGTTCAATACCATTCTCCAGATTCAGTAGGCTTCTGCAGGCGGAAGAAAACCGCAGAAGGGATCTCCTCCGTGCTGGAGTCAATGAGCTAAGGTTTTCTCCACATAAGGCAGCAGGCCAGCGGTGCTAATACTGCTGTGGGCATTCCCCACAAAGCGACGGAGCTGCCCACTCTGCCAGAGGCCGATTTGACTTCCGTTTGAAGGGCTCCGCTGAATTTTTGTGGCATGCAAGGTCCGTGCCCAACAAAGGATCAGCAGGTGGATCGAGGTTGCATCCTTCAGAATGCAGTACTGGCCATGCTGCCCGGAGCAAAGATCCGTGGCAAATTGTCCAGGGATTCTTCTAGCCTCCGATGAGCTGACTTGCCATCATCCCCTGAAAAACACAAACAGAAATCAGGTGCCCATCAGGATCAATTCTGCCTCAACTTGGGACACAAGTCCGTCAATGCTAAACTGCAGGAGCTGACCACAGGGTAGGCCAGGGGTGTCAAACTCAATTTCATTGAGGGCCACATCGGGGGTTGTGTTTGACTTTGGCGGGGGGGGGGGAAGAGGCATGGTCAGGGTGGGCATGGCCAGCTCGATGTCACTTGTGTCGGGGGCACCTGTGGTGGCCCAAGTGCTCTGTCAGCGAAAACGGGTTCCCGAGCTCCGTTTCCGGCTGTGACGGCCTCCTGCAACCCTCTGCCAGTGAAAACGGAGCTTGCGACGGTGGCATGCAGCCGTCCCGAGCTCCGTTTCTGGCTGCGATGGCCTCCTGCAAACTTCTGCCAGTGAAAACAGAGCTCGGAAGGATTGCAGAGGCACCGTGGGCCGGTCTTCTGCTTTTTCCAGGGTGGCTCTGTGGGCTGGATCTAAGCACTCCTTGAGTTGGACACCCCTGGTCTAGCCATGTGCAAAAATCTGCCTTTCTTTGGCCATGTATAAAAATCTGATGTGGGTTTTAAAAAAAGTCCTACTTTCTTAGATGTTTCCTTTCCTGGCTGCTCACTTGCAGTGAAAATGGTGTCAGCTTTTCAGGAACATTGTTTATACCATATAGTGGTCTAATTGCCTCTTGAATTTTGACCCTGATCCATGATCCAAGTATAATAATCGTTCACAATGTAAACGTTGACATGTCAAACGCCTTCTTCTAAGGAAGTGTTTGTTAACTATGTCCTCAATTCTTAAACATATTTGGTTTTGTTACCAACTCTCTTATTCTGTGCGAAGTCTCTAATGTGCTGTACTTCTTACATCTCATTAGTCAGCACAAAATTTTGTTTGAATGGGCCCTGCCAAACATAATGTGATGTGTGAAGCTCTGGAACAGTATTTTCACTATATCTGCCCTCTTACATTTTAGCCTGGGCTAGACATATTTATCATTTGTTCCATGCTGATGTTTCTTTGAACCACATGCATGTAAATATGGGAAGGACGAGTGGGAGACATACATCATTAGGCTGACAAACTTGAGGACTTGGTGTGTAAAATTCACAGCAAGAGACATCTCGGCATGCTAAGCGGGTAACTTACATTTGAGAACACAGAATGGCTGGGTAGACATTGCCACAGAATCATGTATAGCATGTGGATTTAGAATCAGATGGCTGGTGTGCCTGCGCACACCGGTTTTCGGCACTGCCGCACGTGTGAAGGACAGCTGATCGTCGTGCACGCATGCATGCATGCCAGAAACCCAAAAGACAAACAGGCAAGGCCGCACGTGCCCGGCAACGTGGCTTTGCGTGCCACTTTGAGCATGCGTGCCATAGATTTGCCATACTAGATCCATGTTTGTTCTTCAGAGAGAATGAATGTTCAGCACCCTCGCCCAATACTCCGATGTCTTCTGAGACACGTGAGCAGCAATTCTCAGAATTCCTGGGAACTCTGTACATTTGAAGGTTTGCACTAGATTGGGGGAAGGCGAGTAAAGCCCATGGGAAATGAAATCATCTTGCTCGCTTTTCCGAATTCTGTAGAATTGGGGTGTAGCTCCATTCCACATTTTGAAAGGAATTAATGTCATAAACCTCTTCCGGCTGTCTTCAGACAACTTTTAAGAGAATTTGCAGATTAATAAAACAGTATGTTTTTAAATCCTGGTAAAATGATTATCACTAAGTGTTGTATCTTTTTATTCTTGATGAAGGTATTTTATTCTCCTTATGCACACTGAGAGCATATGCACCAAAGACAAATTCCTTGTGCGTCCAATCACACTTGGCCAGCAAAGAATTCTTTTCTATGTAAAATTCAACCAGAAATTTTGGTAGATTTTACAGGATATTAGTCCGTGGATCAGATTTGGCTTTTGAATGGTCCCACACCCTAAAAGAACTGGGCAAGGTCGTGGAAAAAAAATATGAATCCAAATTTACTTTAATTAAATATGGTCTCTTTGATAAGTATTCCTAGCATTGAGAAGCATGGGGAATTTCCACCCCATTGTTTCTGAGCTGCTTCTTGTTTAAACTAGCTTCTGTGGGTATCAGGATTGGGAGCAATGCAGTTGGAAGGAAGTGGTCAATTTACTTTCCACTTGCTCTTCCACTCCTCAATAAATGAGGCATCCGTGCAGGACCTTTACTCTGCCAAACTTTTCAAGTTTCTTAAAAATGCAAAATACGCCCTGAGCTGAAAGGCCTGCAGAAAAAAAAGTGCTTTCCTTAAAATCAAGGGACAATTGCAGAGAAGCCAATGATAAAACGATTTGCCTTCAAAAGAAGTGGGTTAAGACTTCTCTGATTAAAAAAACCAGGTATCAAGTGAAGGGAAAGGGTATTCGGGACATCTGAGCATCGCTTATTTCTTTGGCTCACTCACTTGCTCTGAAAAAATCTTAGGATTGAAGGTAAAGGTTCTCCTCGCACATATGTGCTAGTCGTTCCCAACTCTAGGAGGTGGTGTTCATCTCCGTTTCAAAGCCAAAGAGCCAGCGTTGTCCGAAGATGTCTCTGTGGTCATGTGGCTGGCATGACTAAACGCCAAAGGCACACGGAACGCTGTTACCTTCCCACCAAAGGTGGTTCTCATTTTTCTACTTGCATTTCTTTACGTGCTTTCGAACTGCTAGGTTGGCAGAAGCTGGGACAAGTAACGGGAGCTCATTCCGTTACGTGGCGTTAGGGATTCGAACCGCCAAACTTGCCAACCTTTCTGATAGACAAACTCCGCGTCTTAGCCACTGAGCCACCTGAGTCCCCTTCTTGGGATTCTACTGCAATCTAATTTATGATCTCTGATTCGTGCAGTTCATGAAATTGGCTCGTTTTATCGGGCCGAGGGGAAAGAGTCATCTGAAATCCTGAATCCAGCTTTAGGTGAGGGATCCTATCCAAAGCCATGGCAAGTGAAGGCTACACAGCATGGGCAATGCAGTGCTAGGGGGACAAATATTCACACCGCATGCTAACCCTTAACAAAAAGCAATTTTCTGGGTTCATACCCGCATGCAAACACCTGAACAAATAAACCACATTTAGGGTGAACGGGATAGTGTGGTGGTTCACGTCTACTCAAAGACAGTTATTAAGAGTCACACAACACACACGGTTATTCCAATCTCGTTTTAGTCCGTCGTAGCATCTTGTGTGAACCTTTAATCTGGGGCTAAAGCACAGCCCCTCAACCCACGTGCCATTCCTTATGCAACAAAGACAAGAGACGTGCAGAGGCAGAACACAAGCACAGCTGGAAGATGCCTGCAAATCGGAGCCACAGTGAAGGCGTCAACCCAACCACAACAGGTCCGATGAGACCCCAGGACAAAGAGACACCGGTTAGACATGCAACGGGGGCAGGGAAGGGTAGCTAACCGACTGGCTACGAGATCCCGACCTGTGCAGTTGCTGTCCAGACCCAGAAGTCTACTGAGCCCATCAGAGGGATCTTTCAGTGCCATCTATCAAAGGATAATAAACAGCAAGGACTACGTAAGTGCCTTTATTCTCTTCCCAGGATAGCACTAGAACTTAAGACTCCTATACTGCTTCACAGTGCTTTACAGCCCACCTCTAAGCGGTTTACAGAGTCAGCCTATTGCCCCCCCAACAATCTGGCTCCTCATTTTACCCACCTCCGAAGAACAGAAGGCTGAGTTCCCCCTTAGAACTGAACTGCTGGCAGTCGGCAGAATTAGCCTGCAATACCGCGTCCTAACCCGTGACACGTCAAAACCGCGCTCGACTAAGCCGCGCCCGATTAAACCGCGTCGCTGATGTCATCAACAGGGCGACAACAGCCAGGCGCGGAGAAAGAAGGGCCCTTTAAATAGCCTTTTGAAAGAAAGCCGATTCAACTTAAGGTAAGG